GGGTAACAAGGCCTTGGAACATCTGGACCAGTACTAAGCCTGGATCCTTACTTTTCTATCTGCCTCAAGGAAGAGAATCCAGAATTAACTTTTTTATCTTTCCCTTGAGGGACTGAGAGTGGAAGAGAGGGAGGCTGGGAGAGGGGGTTGTGCTCTGTTTTCAGAGCAACAGTGAGGTAGAGAGACAATCAGGCATCCCAGGTTCTGGTCTGATTCTCCTACTAAACCAGCTGCGAGGCCTGGAATGGGTCCCCTCCCTCCCCATTCATCTCTTCCCCTCTCCTGGACCAGGACTAGGACCAGGGTGGAGGCTCTCCAGGGCTAGGACTCCTGTCCCTCTCTACTTGGCATCATCCCTGCAAACTTCATGTCTTCTACCTGCTGGACCAAGGTGTTTAAGAGGTTTCTAAATGCCTGGGACATGGTGTCTCTTCCTCTGTTTCCTTCTTTTTTTCCAAATGGAGGACTCCGTAGGCTATGGAGACTTCTTTAAAACCATCATGGCCTGAAATGGTGTCCCTAGCTCTTCAAGGTGACAGGGGGAAGGTTTCTTACTACCGCTTTTTTCCAGATGTTAGCGTGTCTTAAATATGGCACCCATGGTAAAATGACTAGAATTGGAATTCTGCATGACATTCTCTGCATGCTCTGGGTCTTGGGGAAGCACAGGAGAAGGGAGTGACATAAGCAGAAAAAGGCCTGATCACTGACAAGGCTCAGCACTACCACCTTCCCTGCTCTGCAAATGCATGATGAAACTGAGGCATGCTCAGAGCTAAAGGACCTTCTGGCAGCTGGTCCAGATGGGAGCCAGGTTTTGATGTGTGAACAGCAGCAGCCTTCGGTGTCCTCAGGATGGTGTCCTGTGAAATAATGGGAGATGTACTTCTCATTGGAAGCCACTGTTATCCCCCTTTAATTATGTGGGACATTTGTGGGGCCAGATTCACCCGCTAACCCCACACCGGTAGTAAAATGGAGCTTCTCTGAAAGGGAGAACAGACTCAGCACCAACTGCTGAGTGAGCCTCAGATAGGCAAACAGGAAGAATACTGTTGGGGGTCACAGGAAGTTCCAGAGGCCAGAGCCAGAGCAGTGTTGGATGGAGTGAAGGGAACACAAGCCAAGGTAGGTAGGAGAGTCCAGCCAGGGCAGGGTATTGGGTGACAGCAAAATTCCTTGGCATCCAGGGCCAAGGCCCAGGGAGGGTACATGGTATTCCAGCTGCAGAGCTCTATTCAGATCCTCCAGAGCCTGGGACAAGCTGGGTGACCCTACAGGACTGAGGAGTAGGAAACAGAACCCTCTGGCTAAGGATACTACCAGGTAGAGCAGCAGGTTCTGCCTGGAGCTCCTCCTGTTAGGGTCTCCCTAGAGTGGGTTTGGGTGAAGGGAGGGACCTAGTCCAAGCCTGGAAGAGAGCGAGAGTCAGATGAGAGGCTTGGAGCTCAGCTGTGGTCATGGTGCCAGCACCAGCTCAGAGGGAGGTGAGGAGCTGACAATGAGCAGCTACCTGAGGAAGGCAGTGGCAGTGCTGTCTGTCCTTTGCTGAGCCCTTCCTCCTCCCAGCTCACCCCCCAAAGACAAGGAACTTCCCAGTAGTCTCTGGGCCTTTCTTCATAAATAATGCTATTTGTTAGTCAGTCAGTCAGTCTTTCTATAATCGCCAGCTTGCTGAGCAGCTACTACATAACAGGCACCTTGTGAGGAGGGAGGTGCACTAATGGCCATGAAGAGACAGTGAGAGGCTGACCCAGGACTCAAGTTCACCCAGCTGGAACCAGCAGATGCTCCACAAACATTTAGGTGTCTGGGGGCAGGGAAGGGGAATGAGGAAGAGGAGCTGTCCACACACCTGGGTTCTAAGGGTGATTTGGATTTTCCAAAGGCCACGCCTAGTAACAGATGTGTTTTGAGGACAGAGCTGAACCAGTGACTTCAGTTTCATGTTATGTTGATCACAGGAAGTTGCTGGTGTATAGACGTTGGGAATCCCTGTTCTTATGTTCCCAGAAAAGAGAAGCCCTGTGGCAAGGAGACTCGAGGATCTGACTATCATGGAGGGAAGGCATACCTTCCTCAGGAGCTCAGAAGCTACTCACGTACTGCCAACCTCAGTCTCATTACTAGTTAGGGTACTTGGATTCTGTCACTACACCCTCCTGGTGTCTTCTCCAAAGTGAAAGCAATTCTGGGTCAAAACAGGCATTTTAGCTTTTCCCTTCCTCTTTCAGACCCTGGTCCACTGAGTGATATGTTGAAGGAGTCCCTTACTTCCACCTATGCTAATTCACACCCCTTCTATTTTCAGCAGAGATAGAAATACTACTGTTAATCCCAGGGGCACTTCAAACATTAAGCAGCCTTATTTCTACCTAAGAGTATTCATTTTAGCAAATATTAAAGATTTACCCCAAAAGGCAAGGCTCTTTTTTCTTATTACGTTGCCTGTCACATAAAGCTCTCCCAGGACTGAGTGGATCCAGCTGCAAGCCAGGAAATCTGAGTTCTCCTTCCCACCTGTACTCATTTTCCTGCTTGGGTTTAATTTCCTGTATAGGCATTAGGAGTAGGGAGGGGCTCAAACAAAGAAGAACATAGGATTTCAATGTAGAATTAATTTTCTCATGGGGCTTGTTATTTGACTTTGGGAGAGTTATTTAACCTCTTGTAATGTCAAATACCCCAAACATCACTTAAAGAGTATAGACTGAAGCTCTCTGAGATCCATTAAATTAGTGGCTCTGAAGTAGGATGTGTTTCTGGTGCTAGGAATTTCCCAGTCTGTTGAGAGGAAGTGGCCTTCACACTTGGATAGTTCCCAGAATGAGACATGCTTGGCATATACTAGCATCTCCATTAATATTTGTTAAATGATTGTGGAAACAAATATCACCATGGGAGAGCTGTTGTTTGAAGCAGGCACAGCTTTGATGCTGGGAGAGCCCCCAGGTGATACAGAGCCATGAGAAGGAAAGCATTGCAGCCAGCAAGACCTCCAGGTGTCAAAGCTGGGACTGAAAGTGGCAAAGAAGGAGTGGGAATGGGCTCTTAGGAGCTAAGGTAGTTAGAAGAGGCTTCCAGGTTTTTGGTGGGCGGTGGGTGGTTTGCAGCTGGGTTAGAAAGGAAGGACCAGGGCCAGAAGGCTGGGTGGAGTGGAGGGAAAAGGTTATCCCAGAAGAGGAATTAGCCCTTGAAAATCTCTGAAGTAGGAGAGGGGTGAAGGTGTGGTTGGTGAAGGCAAAGCAGGTTCACCCAGATTAGCAACCAGTCAGGAAGGGGTGGGGTTGGGGGTAATAATTAAGTAATCTGAATGTGGGTGATTCAATGGGGTTAGGGGAAAGATGGGAAAACGTTCTGGACCCCAGACAAGAAGTCTGTCCTAAGTCAGTCGATGACCTCTAGCATCTACCTTTACAAGACAGACAATTGGTGCCCACCTCAGCTCCTCCACACCCCTCTCCCACTTTTTCATGTGCCCAAATGTATTCTGTCCCACAGAATAGAAGAGACAGCAAGAAGGTAGCAAGGCCACAAAAAGGACTCAGATCTTCCTCCAGGGTTAACTCATGAAACCCTCTAGGAAGTCTGTGGCTCCCCCCTCCCCCCACACAAACCCTGTGCCTGGGTCTAAGGGAGAGGGTGGCACTGGGAATCAGGCACCAGTGACATCATTGTCACATAGCCAGTGCCAAAAAAATATCAAGTGGGTGGTTTTCATCACAAAAGCTGAGCCAATTGGTAATTGAGGGGAGTAGGGTGAATCATATTTGACAGGTAAGGAATGAAAACACAGGGGGCCTGGGGTGATTCTGTTTCCTTGAGGCAGGGCACATTATCCTATAAAAGGCCAGCTGGCCGCTGACTTCACATCAGACCAGAGCAACCAGACAACCTGTTTGCTGCGTACCAGGTGAGTCTCTGTTTGGGACCAATTTGAAATTCATGTTTATTTTTTTATTATTGGAAACTGGACAAAGGCAAATATGTTTAAGAGAGCTGATGGGGGTATTAATTAGAGAGAGTACTGGGGTATCTGTATTTTAGAGTAAGGCATAGTTTGGGTGTGAAGGGAATTTAGGGGCAGGTAAGACTTCTACTTCAATGGATCACTATGGGACTGGGGGCCAGGGAAGGGACAGGTCTGTGTAAGTACCCATAGTAAGTTAACACCAGGATGTGACTAGAACTCAGACCCAGGTACTCTCAGCAACACCACTATTTTCTCTGTTTATGACTCATAAAAATGTTAATTCATGAGATGGACCTCTACTGTGTGTTTGCTATATTTCAGGCACCATGCCTGTTACACTTTGTGTAAATCAGGCTGTTATGCAACTTAGCAAGCTCACAGCCTAGCAAGGAAGATAGTGCATGCATGTACAAAGATGAAATGCAAAGCAGATAGTGATTGGTAGGGGAACAGAGGGACAGGGAAGGGCTTTGGCAGTTTGGGAGAGCCTATTCAAGATCTCCTGGTGATGGCACATGAGGGCTACAATGGAGGTGTATTTGGACGAACAGAGATGGGAAGAACATTTCAGAGCAGACTATATAAGCAAAGGCAAAGCGAGGTCACAGGAGCTAAGACCCACAGAGGCATTCTGTAAGTCACAGGTGTGCTACATGTTTGTAGGGGTGGGTAGACTGCAGTTGTTTCTACAATGTCACTTTCAAAAAGACTTCAGTGTGGTCCTGGGCACTTGTCAATGAGGGATTCGACATGTCTGGGGAAGAAATGTTGCTGGGGAATGAACCCACTGAAATGGAGCAGAACAAATTGTCTTTTAGCTCCTTCTCTTGAAATGGCCCAGAAATTATCAAAGCATACTTTACTTTCAAGTGTTCGGGGAGACAGCCAGGGGAAATGAAGGCTGTTTGATTTAAAGGAGACTGAAAAGAAACCTATTTGACATTGAACATGGTTTCTAACCTAGTTAATCCCTGTTTAAATCATCTGACCTGTCTGTTCTGTCTGTAGGGTCAGCCTCCTGTGAAGCATGAGTTCTCATCAGCAGAAGCAGCCTTGCACCCCTCCCCCTCAGCCTCAGCAGCAGCAGGTGAAACAGCCCTGCCAGCCACCACCCCAGGAATCATGTGTCCCCAAAACCAATGAGCCATGCCACCCCAAGGCTCCAGAGCCCTGCCACCCCAAGGCTCCAGAGCCTTGCCATCCCAAAGCACCAGAATCCTGCCACCCCAAGGTTCCTGAGCCATGTCCCTCAACAGTCACTCCAGCACCAGCTCAGCAGAAGACCAAGCAGAAGTAATGGGGTCTACAGCCAAGCAAGCCCTTGGGGAGCTGACCACCGGATGCTGAATCCCCTCTCACATTCTGCTTCTATGCCTTCCTTACAATTAGCATGCTGCCACTCTGAGTCATAACCCTCCCTCTTTGCACCCTCTACGAAGATTTCCCTCACACTGCTCTGGAGGGCTCCGAGCCTCTAAATGACGCTGAGAGTCTCACTGGCTGAGCTACTTTTCTAACTTCTCAGGGCTCATCTAAAGAGAGGTTTGGGGGATCAAGTGGATCTTTCCTGCCCTGCCCCCATTAAATCACTTTTAACTCCACAGTTGGCTGTGGGTGTCATTTGCTGACTCCACTTTCTTAATTGTTTTTTCAACATAAAGCAGCAAAGGGTCTGGCACAGGCACTGAGTGTGTGTGTGTGTGTGTGTGTGTGTGTGTGTGCGCGCGCGCGCATGTGTGTGTGTGTGTCAGGTCGTTCGTGGGCTGGCAATGGGTCAAGACCACCCAGAGTCTGTTACTTTGGACACCTTTACCTAGAGCAGGGCTTCTTCTGCACCTGAGTGAGTCCCACCTGAGTGTAGATGGTGCCTGTTTCAAGCTGTCTGTGACTTAGTCCTGGTTCCCAAGTTGCCCTTTTTCTGTTTGGTTTATTCCTTTATTGTTCTTCTTCTTTGAAAGAAGTAGTGCTTATATGGATTTCATCATGATTCTTTATACATCCTCCCTTGCTTGATGCCCCAATACATGGAGCCAAGCCCTGAAACACTCCTCCAGACCCACACACAGATGAATTCCTACACACACTGACTCCCCCCCCCAAATCACACACACACACACACACACACACACGCTGACTTGATCACTGAGACCTCTATGCTGTAACAGGATGGAGAGTAGAATCCACAGTGCCTGCCTAGGAGAAGCCTAAGAGGGTAATATCCACCCCTTTCCCATGTAAATATACACTCATGCAAATACTCACTGATACCAGAGCACACATGCACCTTCCTCTGCTCACAGGTACATGCTCTCTCTCCCCCTGCCCTCCCCACTCCATATACACATCTATTCTCTATGAAGAGAATAAAAGCAAATGCACCGAAGAAGAAAATGGAAGTTTAGGCAGGCTTCAGAAGGAAGACTGGTTAATGCAGATAAGACAAAACCTCAGCCTGGAATTGAGGGAGAGCAGGTCACCATGGGCAAATATTAGGGTGAAAAGATACCTGAAAGCCACCAGCGAGCCTATTCAGCTTCCAGATAAACAAACTGATGTCCTTCCCCAGAAAGGGGAAGATAATTCATCAAGACCACCAAGAAGTCATGTTTTTGAATCATACCTAGAGCCCAGCTCTTCAGATTCCGACCCTTTGCTCTCTTCCTGAAGCCGTGTCTTCTTGACTTTGCTGGTGACAAGCAAAACATCTAGGGACTGAGAGACCAGCAGAATTTCTAGACAGGCTGCAGTGGTCACTGGGGAATGAACCCCATTTTTAAAATAACATCAAGCAGGTATGAAGCAGACAACAGATGTCAGATGACAGGTGTGTTGCTTATCACCTGCCTCACACCTGCATGATGCAAAAGCGCTCCAGATATGTTTGAAAAGAACTCCAGAGAAATTTGGAGACTGTAAGGCAAAAATTATCCAGCAAAGCTTTGCAAGTTGGCAAGTAATCATCAGATTGGGAGGAGACAATGATGTCACCTGAGTCTGCAAGGTTTGTGCATGTTCAGGGGATTTAAAATTGCTGCTTGTTGGCATGATAATGTCCTTGACTCTCCACCAAGCTGCTTCTCCTCCTGTCTTTTTTCTACTGTGTGCTCAACACTCCCACCCCAGACATGCCACATTTCTGCAAAACCAGGTGTCCACCAAGTAGTAGGAGCTTATATGATGTCTGCTGGGATGTTGAGTAGTCTGTACCTTCTTCAGAAGATGCTGTTGATTTGAGGGTAATTCTGAACCTCTCTCTGTAAATGTTCAGAGCCTCTGTCATTCAAACTGCCAGGGGAAAAGGGCCTCCAGTCTGTCCCATCCTGTTAGGACTTTCACAGGGCTTATGTATTACCCCAGCGGCTCCACTGCTCACTCCACTTCTCGATGACAGGGGCTGCCTGACCCTAAAACTGGCCCTTCCTCATAATTGCCACTCTTTTAAAATTTTATTCTTAACCTGTAGTAGAGAATTGGGTGAGTTGGAATTCTTGATATTCACGAATTTTTTTTCAAGAAAAAACGTGACAGAAATCAGGGTATGATATCTTGCAAAAATATGGGCATGGTTTTCTAAAAACCCTTAGTTTCATGGTATATAACAATGCTAATTTATTCTGAATACAATTTAGAATTTGAACCCTGGAGTTATTTGATGAATTCAACCAATATTTGCTATTTCGGAAAAAAGTTTTTTTCTTTGACTTATGACATAAGAATGGAAGATCTTTATAATATAGAACAAATTTCTAAAAAGGAAAAAAATGCTAAATAGTAAGGCAGCTACTCATTATAATCATAGATTTAGGTGATTAAAGAATACCCTCACAGATTAGACGTGGAATTTCCCAGCTCATTATATGAGCATTGGTTTCTCTCACCTTCGCTAATACCTTCACTTGCTTCCTTTGAACTTCCCTGAGTTCAAAGAAAAGCAGATGCTGTGCAGACTTATCCCAACCATGTGTCCTTGCCATGCCCCCTCTACTACATAGAAACAGGGACCTCAAAATACCCAGTACCTTACCTACACCCACAGAGTTCATCTTGCCATAGTTGCCATTTATTTTTTCAGTGTCTACTTATCCAGCGCTCAACACCTCCCCAGTGTCCACCCACACAGTGCCCACCTTAGCATTAGCCATGTCCACAATGTCAGCCAACGTGTTTTTCTCTGAATCTGCCTCCATCCATCTAGCTACAGTGCCCCCCCCCCCAGCCCCCACAAAAACAGAAAAGCATGAAGGCTTGCAGGACTAAAACACAACAAACATAAATGGTTCTTTTTTTGGGAGGATTTCCATCACATTTGTTGCAAACCCTCTTCTTTTTCGTGAGATGGCATGGTCAATAGGTTTCACTCATAATCTCCTTGGAGTGATGAGAAATGACTTTTTTCTTGAATTTGTTATCATGTACCATTCCAGGAACTAGCTGAGAAAGCATCATTCTTAGCCCTGCCATACCTGCAGATTCCAGTGCCATCCTATAAAACTTTCTGTAGACACGGAAACATTCTCTATCTGTGTGGTCCAGTACAGTGGCCACCAGCCACATATGATTATTGAGAACATGAAATGTAGTTGGCATGACTGAAGAGCTAAACTTTTAATCAGATTTAAGTTTAATTAAATTTATGTGTTAAGTCTTCAAATATTTATTAATTCATTAAAAACAGCAAATGTAAATCCACAGCATGTTCATATAAAAACAACTATATTTTCCCAAACAAAATAATTAGTTATAAGAGTAGCTCTGTTTAAAAAATACCTTTAATGTCTTTGTGAGTGGAATGTAGTTGGTTTCTCACATCCACTTCTGCATTCAGTCTGTTGTGATATGCTGTTTTGGTTGAAGGATACAAAAAAATCCAGCTTCACAGAGATATGTAGTTGGGAAATAGAGGAGTGTTTTAGTAACTTTAATATAAGTATGGATATCCTTTGACACTACACCCAACTCAGCAAATAGTAGCTTCCTAAAGATTAGTTGTGGAGAGAAGGAAAAACTCTTCTTTACTCTCAAGGTCTTCCAACTAGACTAAAAATTAAATTTAGATGAAACAGATTAACAGGAGAAAAAGTCAAAAGTTTTATTACATGTGCATGGAAGTCCAGTAATGAAATTGAGACCCAAGGAAGTAACCAAGGCAGGAAATTGTTATACATTTTAGACAGAGACAATAAATCTGTGAGGAATTGGCAGGACAAAGAAAACTTAACTTTGGGAGCTTCAATTAGTAAGGGATTCTAAACAGATTTTGGACTGGGGTAGTACATTAGTAAAAAGTAACAAAGGTTGTTATACCACCTCCTCTGCTCTAAATTTCCCACTTCTGGTGATAAGGGTGTCTTTTTACCTCCTTCTACAGGGAGGGTACCTTTCACATGGGAGGTTTTCCTCCCTTGCTTTTAGGGGGGTGGAGGAGGGCCTGAGTATCCTTTTTTTCTCTCTCTTAAGTAACTTTTATTTAAAATAGCTGGGGTGCCTGGGTGACAGGTTGGTTAAGTGTCTGACTTTGGCTCAGGTCATGATTTTACAGTTGGCAAGTTTGAGCCCTGCATCAGGCTCTGTGCTGACAGCTCAGAGCCTGGAGTCTGCTTCGGATTCTATGTCTCCCTCTCTCTCTGCCCATCCCTTGCTCATGCTCTCTCACTCTCTCTCAAAAAATAAATAAACATTTTTAAAATTTTTAAAAATTAAAAAAAACTAATATGTCAAAGTGGGATCTTAAACCATGTTAACTAATTGTGTTTTGTTACAATAAAACCATTGGTCTGGAAAGAAGAAATAAAATGGTCCTTATTTGCAGACAACATTATTGTCTATGTAGAAAATATCAAAGAATTTTCTTTAGAATACTAGAACTAATAAGTGAGTTTAGTATGCTTACAGGATACAAGATCAACACAAAAAAACTCAACTGCATTTCTACATACTAACAATGAAAAAGTAAAAAGTGAAATAAAAAATGTGATACATTTAAAATTGCTCTAAAGAGAGGAGCCAAAATGGCAGAACAGCATGGAAGCTTTTTGTGTGTCTTGCATCCATGAAATATAGCCAGACCAACACTAAACCATCCTACACACCTAGAAAACTTATTGGAGGATTAACACAACCTACACAACCTGAACCACAGAATTCAGCAGATACTTGGTGCAGAGAGCTGAACTTGGGGAATGAGAAGCCACGAAAAGTAGGAACCCCTTTTGCAGGTGGAAAGAGGACAGAGACTGGGGAAGGGAGGAGCATAAGGGAAAAGCACCCATCCCCAAAAGCAGCTGGAGAGAAAGTTGA